TCTACACACCACCTGCCTCAATTAGCCTTGCTATTTGCAGGTGGTGTGATATTTGTATATTTAATGTAAGAAATAAAGATGTTGTTGTTGTAATTAGGTAAATATACGAGATTTATTGGATAAATTATGGGCTTAGTTAAGGCGTTTACTACACTGTGGGGCATGAAAGATAGAGGGAATTTTTTCAGATAGAAAAGACCGGCTGTATCGAGTTTACCGAGTGTACTGGCTGGACTGAGTTCCCGCTGTATCGAGTGTACCGGCTGTACTATACTGAGCATACCGAGCGTACTGAGTGTACCAAGTTTACCGTGAAAGGTGGCTTTAGCCCTCAGATGACCTGGCTAGTTACTTCCATCGTATTAATTTTCTGCATCATAATAGTATTTGTTTTAAAAACAAAGTAAAACTTTTCATCGCAAAAAAAGGTTGGCATTGGCTAAAATTTAAGGTAAACAATGGTCAGGGGGGTTTCCCCTGGCGTTTTGGCCAAGTCACGTAATTGCTGCAAAACGAAACTGTTAAGAGGGAAACGTAAGAAAAATAAATAGCAACCGAGTTTTCACTAGCAGAATCATTCATTTCTGGATGCCTTTTTGTTTACATTCGACAACCGGAGATCCTGCAATTGTGTTGAAGTTTCTAATACCGCGATAGCCTGCGCGAGCAAGCTCTTCATTCGGGGTGGGGGGGAGGGGGGGCTGTACAGTACCGCAAATGATCCCGAGACCGCAAATGATCCCCAAAATGGACCGCAAATGATCCTCGACCGCAAGTGATCCTCAAAGTCGACCGCAAATGATCCCGAAAGAAAAATAGGAATGGCTTAGACTCGAGTAAGCGGATCATCGTGTCGATTTTATTATTATTACAAAAAGTTAGATTAAACGCTAAATTTTAGTTCTTAAATAAATACATGAATAAAAACTAACTGAAAAGAAATCATTCAAGTGTAACGAAGTCGATAGGCAACACACGACTTTTGCCTCATGCCAAAATGTTGCTTGTTCCAATGAATTTTTCTCTGACGGGTAGATTATACCTCTGAAGGAAAACGTTTTGACTGAGTAAATGTGATTTTTGCTGCTTATTTCATACTGAGAGGTCATGACACGCATTTTCTGCGGTTATTTTTGTTTCTGGTCGCCATGATTTGTCCTTTAATGCAAGAGCATTTCCTTTGACCTCTTTTGGAAATGCGATGCTCTTCATTGCGGCTAAATAAGGGTTTTAGGTTGTTTAATTTTCTTTAAAATGCCTCATGGATCCGAATAATTATGAGCCACTTTCCGTGAATGTGACGGTTGAGGGGCACCCAACGAGGATACAGTTCAAAACCACTTAACATAGCATTGTTGAACGTATTTTAGTATTCAAACGGTAGATATAGGCATATTTTTATCCCCTAAAAACTTTTCATCTGTTCGGATTTCCTAGCTGAAAATTTAGTGATCCGAAAATTATAGGGATAAAAACTTACCTTCTCGAAAATTTCAGCCAGAAAAAAGGCTTCCGAAAATTCTAGGTGACCTTTTTTAGGGTCAAAATCCGTTAAAAATGGGTAATTACCGTAAAATTCCGAAAATAAGCCCCGGGGCTTATATTTTTCAAAGGCCCTTTTTGAGGGGCTTATATTCGGAGGGGCTTATTCACGGAGGGAAATTTCCGTTTCAAAATCGATTGGGCTAGACTTATAGTTTCAAGTAAATTTTCCGTTTTTGCTTTGTTTTACTTTGTATTTGAGGGCAATTTTCCAAGTACAAGCCCCCGGGGGCTTATATTTGGAGGGGCGATTTCAACGGAGGGTTCTTTGCGTTACGAGTTTGGGGGGTTTTTATTTGGAGAGGCTTATTTTCGGAATTTTACGGTATACCATTTTGTCCTGCATTTTGTAGATGTTCGAAAATCCTAGGAGAGGCAGGCAAGCAAGAAATTTTACAACAAATGCTCCGAAAATTCTAGATCTCAAATCGTCTTCCGAACAGATATTTTCCCGAAAATTGCCGTTGGGTGCCCCTGACGGTTCCCACGATGTTTTGTCACGCGATAACTACCGCTCAATGCATCGGGTTTGCGTTTCTCGTTACCAGGTTTAGATTCCTGGTAACTGTCTGCAGCAAAGGCACAAGAAATGGATATACATATAAGCGTCAATATAACTATTCGCAACATGTTCATGAGCTGTAAGCAAGTTGTTCTTTCGAAATAAACCGAAACCTGTGGACATTGATAAATTCGGGGGCATTTTGACGTGTGTTTATTTCAAATCATGTCTTGTTTCGTAACGGGCACTCCCAGGCCTGGGGCACTCCTAAGTTACGAACCAATGTCTTGCTGTTTATCACGTAAAATTAACACTTCAGAGAAAAATCAAAACTAAATATTCTGAAAATTAATTCGACACTTCTACAAAGATCAGTAAAGTCATTAAAGCTCTTGTTATGTAGAGGGTGCCCGGCTTTGTATTCGTCAGTAGACAAGTTGAGCTTGGGCGTTAAAACTGAAGAGAGTTTTTTTCTGCGTAATGTCCTGCCTGTCTTAAATTTTCAGCGACGAAACAGTTCTTGAAAGAAAATTGAAGCAATTGACAAAGGAAGAATTATATACGGTTGATACCATATCCTTTTCAGATTTATTCTACTTTTTTTCGCCTTCTATAAATTGACCTGAGATGTAGCGTCCTCCTTCCCTTTTTCTTTAGAAGGCGCGAGAAAAGGTCCCTTTTTTATAATCAGTCCTTTTTTGTAATCAGTCCCATAAAATCCATTCCATTCCTCAAGTTTTCACGGGATCATTTGCGGTCGCCTTTGGGGATCACTTGCGGTCGAGGATCATTTGCGGTCCATTTTGGGGATCATTTGCGGTCTCGGGATCATTTGCGGTTGGGGATCATTTGTGGTACTGTTCAGGGCTCGCAAAAAGTCACACGAGAGCAGCACGCAAAAGGTGACGCGAGTGCGAGGGACGCCATACATGAAGAGCTTGCTAGCAGGCTAATACCACGAGGTCGCTGCTTTCTTTTCACGTCGCCACCGCCGTTGCAGTAATTCCTCAATTGAGGTAAGTTAACAGTCAGAAATTTTGCTATCATGGTAATATGACGTCACTCTTCTCTCTACAGTTGGGTTATGTATCAACAAATCATTCTCTTGTAACTGTTTCGTTTCATCCTTTTTAAAATTTTATTATTTTGTCCATCTACAAGAGAGATCAGATCAAACTACAGTAACTGTTGTTGTGTTCATGTTCAAAACATAGAACTCTCCAAAACAAAATCTACCCGCCAGCGAAAAACGTATTGGAACAAACAGCATTTTGGCATGAGGTAAAAGTCTCGTAGCTATGTCTGCTGACCCCTTTTTACACTATGAATGTTTTTTAACGTGTAGGCCTCCTTTTAAGCTAAAATTAAAGAACCAAGCACAGAGTAGAAAGTTCGACATTGTGCACCTAAAAAACAACGCCGGTATGTAGGGGAATGTACGGAAACTCTCTTCGCACTTATTTACAAGAGTCCTAGTCCTCTTCCACAAAAGAAAATACTAAAATTTTCAAGAAATGCGTTCCAAAAAAGCATACTTCTAGTATAGCTTCAAGCAGAAGAGGATCGAAAAACACACTCTGTAACTGGTTACGGTTAGTAGCCGATAGGAAAACAAGAATTTTGATTTTCCACGGGGATATTCAGTTAGACAGAACAGCTGTACCGTTCTCGCCACGACACAGAACAACTAAAGTTGCTCTTATAAAAGCAACTAAGTACAAAGCTAACCTGGCAACTGGTGAGGTTCGCTTGGAGAACCGAAACCGTGATGGTCTTGGCAATAACAAAACGTTCGAAAGACTGTTAAGCTACCAGTATTTTCAAAAGCTATTACCAAGGAAAGGAACTACGTGCTCCAGTCCAGATTCACATACAAGCTGGTAGTTTATCATTGTTTAAAAATATACGTTCTTGACTGAGTAACAATGCAATTCTCCATAGGTGCTTTAGCTTCAGTTTAAGCCGCAATTCATTCTTCTAAATTTGAATCTGTGAATCGTTTAATCCGTGAGAATTTCAGAACATCCTGCAAACAACATTGCAGGAAAACATCACATTCACGTACTAAAAGAAATCGCTTAGTTATTCAGAAACTGAAGCACTTTGGAGAAAATTAAAGAGCCTAAAAGCCTTATTTAGCCGCAATAAAGAGCTTTACGCTTCACGAAAGAGGTCACAGAAAATGCTTTTGCATCAGAGGACAAATCATCTGCCCGACCACAGACAAAAACCACTAAAAATTAATAAAAGTGTCATGACCTTTCAGTGTAAAACAAGCTGTTACAACAAACATCCAAATGGAGCCAATTTTCTTCAGTGAATAAAACAAATCTCTGACACAACATGTTAAAAAATTCCAAGATTAAGGCCACAAATATTAAACAAACAACCACTCCGACGCAAGGTACACTACGGTATTGTATAAGCGCCGCACATCATTCTCCTTTCGATTGACTCCAGTGACGCAAAAGAAGCGGACAGCTTGGGCCGCATTGAATGCTCTGTTCTGGTTGGTTCGGTACAGCAGGCTAGATTTCAACGAGGCAAAGATAGCCAATCAGAGCCGCTTTGGAAAGGTGCTGGTCAACTGAGTCTGACAGCTGATAAGCTTGGCACCAGGCCTGCTTAGCACTGTACATGGTAATCATTATTATGTAACACCTTGTTGTGACAAGTACATGAAAGTATAAATAGTTAATCAGGTGTCGCCAACAAAAAGGTAAAAATCCTTTTATGTTAAAGTACTGAGGTATTACTTAAACTCTGGACTCGATTCGCATCAGACAGTCATACTACCTGAACAAAGTAATACGTTTCATTCAGAGATTTCTTAGTAAGAATTGCAGATTTTTCTTCCGAAACTAAATCCTATATGACTACTTAATTTACTATAACTGGTTTTTTGATGCTTTAGACACAAATCTGTTCTGCTAATTTGTTTCTTTTTCAGACAAACATGGCTTCGAAGTTCAAACGGCTGGTTGTCATGTTTTTGTGTTCTGGGCTCTTGTTATCAGCGAACGCCAGAGACGATAAAAGAGGTTTGTTTTTCTTTTAAATAAACTCACAACATAGTCAAGCGTGTGATTAGTGACAAATGGCGGCTAAATAGATGTTATTTATTGCCCCATATAACGGAATCCGGATACCGGGAAATTTTTTATTGGCCTCCCGCAGGTTTTTGCTTCTGGAATACGAAATCCTGGGGTTTGGAATCTAAAATGAAGTTCAAGGAATCCGGATCTTACTAACGATTGGAATAAGGACTCTAAGTTCCACTGACAAAATATCTGGAATCCAGTACTCGGCTGGAATCTAGAATTCACGGCGTCGATCCAGAATCCAGAACTGTCCTGGATTCCCATCACATGCCGCTCATAACTGCAAAAGGAAAGAACAAAATTATAAACTTCTGACTTTTCAACTCTAAGTCAATCTAAGTTATTACTGTTTCTGTTGGGGAGTTTAAAGCAACACAATCCATGGAAATTGTCAGGGAATTTTTCCTTCTCTGCGCGATCAGTAGCTGAGCCAATCACCTCAGAGCGATTATATCACATACAAGGCATTGAGTTACAGCATTTGTAATTCCAGGCTATTTATAGATTCAAGTTTTGTCCGAAACACTTCCGTAAATCAGAAAGGGTTGGACTGGCAGAGATCTACAGTCGTGGATTCAAGCCGCTGGGCAGCCGCCATTTATATTCATTTGAATATCATTTTTTTTGTTACATCTGTCTAAAGAAATATATCATGCTGTTCTTTACTTTCGTTTTCTATGTCGTCATCACCAGAACCAACTTCTTGTGAAAATATGGTTTTGCCTGATCCAGAAAGACATCGCATAGATCGTGAAAGATTTAAGGAAATCTCAGTTCCTGATCCTAGTTGGACTGAAACGCCGTTAATAACGAAAGTTGGAAAAGGTAAGATGGAATCCTTTGCATGTAAAAAAAAACGATTGAAAGAAGCATTCGTCTCAAGACTAATAAAATATAAGTGGTGAAATATAACTCGATCTAACACTATCTAAGTACAAAGCGTTGACCATTAACGTAAATATACTTGACAAGTCGTGTAGAATAAGGAACCGAGTTTTTTCTGGCAAGCTCTGGCAGGCTATAGCTAGCGATGCAGGCTCCCTAGCTAAAGACTTCATGCACGCTTGGATGTCGTTAGTAAGCCTGTCTTACACACACAACAGAACATCGTCATTTTTGCAGGTTTCCTGGTTATACCCTTTGATCGTCCAGTGTTGAGAAATAGTTTTTCCAACCGTGTTTTTTTTTTCTTTTTTTGTTTTTTCTTTTGTTTTCTTTTCTTTTTTTTCTTTTCATAATGTCAGTTAGGGTATAAATATGTGTGGGCATATAGCGTGGCAATTTTTTTCGTAATAATCTCACGAGCCACATATATCCTACATCAATGACCAAAAGTTTACTAATTTTACATTTTAGGACATTACCAAGTTACTGGTCAAGTTATCCATATGAAATATTTGAAGGAGCAGTTAGCGACTAAGGAGAATTTCAACTTTCATGTAATTAGAGGAGGAATGGATGACCTTATCCCTCGATTAGATATTCTTGCTGATACACTATACCTCAAGGTATTTGTATACTAACATAATGTGGAAGAGAGACCGTTGAAGCACCTTCGTTTGTCACGCCGTTTATTTAGGGCTACTTTAAAGACAAAATTAACTCCTTTCGCAAGGGATAAGTTAGCAATTTTAGAATGTGCACAAATTTATAGTGAAAGTGATGGAGAGCTCAACATTTGCTCTATTACCCTCTTATGTCATAGATTTTGCATTTGCTCGCTTAAAGTTTTGGCGGGAAACAGCTTCGTCTTATGGCCTATTCCGCAAGCGGCAAGCTGAGGAGAATGCTGTGTTCTGATTTGCTAAAGGAGGCAGCGTGGCCTTAAGCTCAAGTCCCACTCTGAGTTGTTGAATATATTTTTTACGGTATCCCAAAGTGCAAGTTCTCGTCCAGCGGTCAGTTGGGATTCTATTTACCTTGTAACGTTCTGTTTTATCATCGCAGACAGTAAAGGGAAAGGATAATTAAGTATCGATTGATTAATTAACTGACTGATTGATTGATCGTTCAATCGATCAATTGAATGATTGATTGATCAATTGATTGATTGATTGATTGATTGATTGATTGATTGATTGATTGATTGATTGATTGAAGGATGCACAGTAATTTTCGAGGAGTTATAATAACTCCTCTAGTGGGGCTAATTTAACCCCTTACAGTGGAGTTACTTTTTGGGGAGTTATTTTAACTCCAAAAAGGAGTTTAAAGAACTTTTTTTCAGGAGTAAAAGTGACCCCAGATATAGAGGAGTTAAAATAACCCCCAAAAAGGAGTTATTCTGTACCTAAAATTTTTACTCCACTTTCAGAGTTAAATTAACTCCAAAAAGAGTAAAAACAACCCATTTAAGAAGTAAAAGTAACCCCATTTCGGAGTTATTTTAACTCCAGACTGGGATCAAAAAGAACTCTTTTTCAGGAGTAAAAATGACCCCAAATTCGGAGTTAAATTAGAAGTTAAAATAACCCCCCAAAAAGGGGTTATCCTGTACCTAAAATTTTTACTCCATTTTTGGAGTTATAATAACTCCCTTAAAATTACGGTGTGGATGGTTGAATGGATGGATGGATGAAAGGATGGATGGATTGATTGATTGATTGATTGATTGATTGATTGAGATGTCACAGGCCTCTGTCAGGGAAAATATTCCAGCTACCGGTGTATAACAATTCACCTTGTGTTCTTATCCTTAGCCTTCATACTCGTGCTTGAGTTGGTTCTTGTGCCTTGATATCATTTTACCCTTTCACAGGGTAGCGTTCATATCTATGGAATCAAGGAAATAAAAATATACGTGCGGTCGTTAATAGCAGCGTATGAAAGTAAAGTATTTTTCTCTGCACCAAAATGGAAGGGAGGGTTTAAAACAACGGTAGAAGCTGGAATGAACGGAGAGGACGGCAAGGATGGCATCGATGGACCACAGGGTAAGTCGATAAATTTTAGTAGTAAATAAAAGATATCTCGTTCGCAGGGCACTTCAGTAAAGTGTCATAAACCAGATGATAGGGAGCTTTAACAACGATGACGAGAACGTCAAAAAAGCGACAGCTTTATAAGCAAAACAAGAGACAAGAAAGAGTTAAAATCAACAAAGTTATTGTAAATTTGCCCAAATTGCTACGCTTTGAGCTTGTAACTACCTCTCTGGAATTTGAATTCCACCTCCACTTCCCGCGTGGCTCCCCTTCGACTCAGCTGTCAGACTTTCACCAGTCAGCGCGGAGCGGAAACGAGTGCGAATGTAAACAAAAGTTGAAAAACACGTGCCAAGGGTAGTGACGTCATTACTAATCAGCATTTTGCATCGACTTTTTCGATGCAGATATTCAAATTCCAGAAACGTAGTTGCAAGCTCTCCTTCCTTTTCTTGTCCCGCCGCCAGCGCGCCCGGGAGAGCTTGCTCGTAGGCTATGATGACCCTATTAGGGGGTGGTTTGGCCCCATCGCGAGACCAAACCATCCCACAATTGGTCGCTTACAGGAAGGTAACAACAATTGCTTACGAGAGGTCGTGAGAGGTGGTCTTTCACGAGAGGTTCCAACTGTAGTGAATTAATCCTGCAAAATTTTAGTATTTTGGTTGGAGGTGGTCGGGTGCGAGAGGCGGCTGCTTGTGGAGGTTCGACTGTAGTCAATTCTCTTCCTCGGCGTTAATGGAGAGAATCAAGTTTACGGCAAACGGCAAACGTCGACAGATTCAAGTTGAGAATTTCTCAAAGAAGAAAATGAGCGCATAAAAAAGGCTCAAAACAATTCTTATGGATACAAATGGCGTGAAACTACTAATTTATGTGTAGAGATAATAAATAGCAAACGAAAAGTAAAGGAGACACTTGGTCACGGGATAAATATTCGCGTTTGCCGTCTGCCGTAAACGTGCCTCTAATATAAAATTAGAGAATTTAAGCATCACGTATAAGGCAGACAAGACGTCAGATTCAAGTTGAGAAATTCTCCAAATAGAAATTTGAAATGAGCAGCTGGTTTCCCCGCCAAATGACGTCTGAGAAACAAACGCGGAAATTCCATACTGATGACACGTCACTACCCAGATCTGGGTAGTGCTTCTTTTTGGGTAAATCAAATTTTCCACGCGGCACGACCAATCAGAAGCGCTATCCAGATCTGAATAGTGACGCGTCATCAGTATGGAATTTCTGCGCTCGTTTCTCAGACGTCATTTGGCTTGGAAACCAGTGGTAGCGTCGCCAAATGTCGGCTGTTTTCTAAGGCTGATAAAAACAGCTCAAAACAATTGTTATGGACAAAAAATTACGTGAAACTACTAATTTATGTGTCTAAATTAACAGTAGACGACAAGTAAAGGGGAAACTTGGCCACACAGTACATATTCGTGTTTGTTGTTAGAGTCGATAGACGTAAACGTGATGCTTAACCTCTCTAATTTCTCTACTTCTCTAGTACCAGACCTCAATGACTCCGTTCAGAAAAGGTGTCCGTCTCATCTCTTTTCTATTTTTAGTCGAAGTTTATTGCGATGTCGTTACCGGAGTCTTGGAAATAAGTTCTAATGGTGAGCATGGAGCGAAAGGCCAAAATGGAGGAGACGGTGTTCCAGGTGTCCGGCCCCCTCCGGTTAGAAACATACTTGCTACATTTTATCATAATGCATATCATTTCAAAACTTCAGGAAATGTACTTTGAGCTCTCTCTGAGGTGGATATAGCATAGAAATATTTCTTTCAAGTTTTCCTCTTATGAAGATGTTAGTTTAATGGAAAAACTAATTGCGCAAAGATCGTACATTCCTTCAGTTGGCAAAACTAGCTGCAACAAGCATTAGTTCCCTTTTCTCAAAGTAAAGGTGTTTTATAGTTGTCACTGTTTTATTAGCTGTCCGTTTCAGTTACGTTAGTTTTGAAGAAGCCATATTCACGATCATTTAGCATGTTCCTACTAGTTCAGTCTCAGTTTTGAGCTATTTTTAATGAAAAGAATAGATTTTGAAGTTTCCTGCTACTTGAAGAAAATTTTATTGGTCGCAAAATAATTACACAAAATATACTTTTAAAACACCCCTATTAAAGATTGCTATGAATAAGTTATGACCTTCCTTCCATTGTGTTAAGGCATCCCTGATCTCAACCATTGGTAGAGAAATTTATTATCATTTGTTGTTCTCAACAGAGACCTGATAGGCCTGCTAGTTTGTGTAGTGGATCGTATTGTAAAGCTCTCTTTTACAGAGGTGAACGTGGCGAGAGGGGAATAAAAGGTGGGGATGGAGGAAATGCTGGCAAACCTGGTAAGAAATAATGATATAATGCTATCGTCCAGCAATTCGAAACAATGCCTATACTGCTGATTAGACTCAGCCCAAGGTGGACAGGTTAAATGCCATAGTTCACGCTGCGGTGGATGGGACATAAGAAAAGCGTACGAAACACCCTGGGGCCTGGAACTCCTGGGACGGCAACAACAACAATAATGGATACGGTCACTCTTTCATCTTTTTTTTTTTTTTTTACTGCGCTTTTCATAAACATCCGCCTTCACAATTGCGTTTTTCGCTGCCGTCAATCATAATTACGATCACAAGAAACGAACCTTGAAACACAGAAATACACAAAAGAGATCGAAATCCACCAATCATAAATCACAAACCATGACCTTTTGAACCCGTTAAAGTAAAGTTTTGTTTCCTAAGAGGTCCGCTAAGATGATTGACGGCAGCGAAAAACGCAATTGTCAGTTGGCTTTTGAACTTCACAATTCGCATGTTTGTGAAAAGCGCAGTAATGTTTGATATGGATGACGTATTACTTCATTAAGACGCCACAGCGTATTTTCATTCTTCTGTCTGCTGGCCAACTGTGTCATCAGGAGCATTTCATGATCTCCTCGAGCTGCATGTGGCCGGCATTTTTTATCGGTTTGAGCTCAAACTTTGCCGGATGGTAGAACTTTGAATTTCAAAAAATGTTTCCTTTGTTTTTCGATTTTAACGATTTTGGGCGGGAAAATGAATTTTGAAAGGGCGTGACGTGATAGACACAAATGTGGAAACAATTTTTGGAAAAGCACAAATAGCATCTTGAAATGTACTTATGTTTCTAAAAACAGGAACAAAATGGCAGGAAATTCAAAATCGGAGCTTAATACTATTAAACCAAATGAGCTTTTCAAATTTTTTTTTTTCTCATTTTATTCTATCGCGTCGTGCTCTTTATAAATTTCTTAATTGTTTTGCTATGTCTTGAAATTTTAATTTTGCTGTCAATCTTGTGACGTCATTTTCTTAGCAAAAAAACACAGTAAAATCGAAAAACAAAAAACATGCGATTTTTCGGAATACAAAGTTCTACCATCCTGCAAAGTTTAAGCTCAAGCGAATAAAAATTATGCAAAAATAGTTCCTAGGATGCGCTTTTAGGCGTCCTATATGTCCACCGTATCACTTTAGCTAAAATGGAGACGATGGATGGACGATTCCACATTGAGAGAGAAATTCTCTCTTGTACATATGTGGTCACGTGAACAAACAAAATTTCACATGGAGAGAGAACCAGTTTTTGTACAAAAAAAAACAATCGCTGGCGACTTGCACGCTCGTCTTCTTCGTTCATTATCTGTCACCTTCATTTAGTTGAGAGACAGTCAGAAAGAAGGAATAACTTTTTCTTTTTTCAGGGAATGGTGGAGAAGCTGGTAGGATAAATTTTCGAGCTCGACATATCAATGGAGAAGTCAGGCTTTCTGTTTGCAGAGGACATGAAGCAGAGGCAGCATTAAATGGACGAGCGGGACCTGGTAAGTTAGCCGGAACATTTGATAATAAAGAGCTTAAGAAAAGCCGTTTTTGAGCGACGCACGTCAAGGACCTTCGCATTCTTACATGGACAGTGACCGGTTTTGCCCAAATTTTCAGTGAAAATACAATGTAGTCTAGACAAGAGATAGGATACTAGGCAATACAAATTGGTAGGGTGTAGGCATACTAAAAGGTCTAAATGGAATAAGGCCTCACTTCCGGTTGACGTGCGTCGCTCAAGAGTGAATAAAAGGATACATGCCTCCGACTTCCGGTTGACGTGCGCAAAAAAATCAATTTTTAGAGAGTTTTTTCCCCATATAGGCTCCGTCCCTAAGTAATGTAATATCTTTCAAGTTATCTAAGTAAATAATCACCGGAAATTTCAAACAACTTTTGACGTTTCTAACGTTTACAGCTATACATAAATTCTCTCAAGAATCTTTTTTACCAACGTTGTCCTCGATAAAGCCGAATGGCTGATAAGCAAGTTGCATAAAGCTTAAATTCTGACGTAAGAGCTAACACCTCACTTTCAGATCAGTCAAACTCCTAATTTAGCGCCACACGTTGGAATTTCCTCTGACGTTGCGTTCTTGGCAACAAAGGCCCCTGAAGAAGGAGACTGTTCAGAGCCACCTTAAAATTTTGCAAAACTCAAAATAACTCTGAACCCGCTGAATAGATTGATACATTACGTACCGATTACAATTCAGAAATAAAAATTTGGTTCACTGACTATTTTTTGACTGACTTACACTTAAAGCGTGTTTTAACAAGTTATATGGTTTCAGTGTGGACTAAATTGAATTCGATGGGGACAGACGGTAAATTGTTATTGTCGGAAATGTCTATAAGTCGTAACCGTTCATCAGCTGGATGCCTAAAATATTTTCGTATTAACAATTCATTTGATTTTACTTCAACTGATCAGAGGCACACCCTAGATCTTGGTAGTGATACGCGTCATTATGGAATTATTGTACTTATTCCTCAGACTTCAATTCGAGGTGAAACTAGCGTCGCAAAATGTCCACTGTTTTCTCAGGCTGTTGTTTCATTAAGCATTGAAACGTTAATTTAAAATTTGTAACTTCTAATAGATAAAAATCGATTTCAAACGTGCTGCAAATTTCCTTTTCTTTTCTGTGTCTAGGCAGTGAAGGTGGCTTGGGAGGAAGAGGAAGGATTTGTCAACTTCTTGACGATTTAATAACGTTTTCAAGATGCCTTCCTTTGAAACTAACCGAAAGATCTCCACAAGGTCCACCTGGACCACCAGGAAAGAAGGGAAAAAGTATGAAGAGAAAATCATTTACTGAGAACAATGCTTATTTGTGATATGTTAATATACCTACTAACTCAATAGCGTTTTCCGATTGGACGATAACAAGTCACGTGCCATGCGGATTAGCAAGTCTTGCCATGCAAATATTTTGCCGCAGTCATGGCTAATTTGGCTCATGAGTTTACAATTTGTTTTATTGTTGATCACGAGTAGGAATGGGAGGCCATTGCTTAATTAGTTGGGAAGTACAGACTAACCGCACGGCAAGAGTTAGCTTTGTTTCAGTGTCTAAGCTTGATATACCCCTCCGGCAGTCGCGTTGTTGTACCTCATTTGCACCCGATTTATCTATTTATTTTTAATTGCACTGTATCGCAATGTCTAGCAGAAATAACGTACAATAACAGCCTATAACCCAGAGCAAGCAACTTCCTTACACTCATGTCAGGACTTTTTCACCAACCAGGTTATTTTTAGAACAAAATTTTGCGCCAATTTAGACTATCTTTTATATCCCACAAATCATTCAGCAAACCTCACTGGTCTTAAAACGGTAATTTTTTTAACTTTCAGTGACGTTTAGTTTTCATTTTTCATGCCTTATATTTCGAATGAGCTCACAGACAGAGTCGACCTTCTATTTTCGAGGGGAAAATGTCCTCTTAAGCGTATCTAAAATAATCGGTCAGTGGAAACGCCCTGATATACTCTCTGTATACAAATTTCTCACTCCGGGTTATGGGCTCTTGTGTATAACTATAATAACTGTAAATAACTACTAGCAATAACCAAAGGATACGGAATGTGCGCTAAAGTAATGATAGACGGCCAAAACGCTCCTGCCATAAAGTTAAGAGCAAACGGACATAAACGACTCCAACAATGTTGGGAGTTGTTGGCCAGCAATGTTGCTTCCGTTTGCACGGTGCTTGACGCTGTGCTTTGGGCAAGTTTCAAGTGATAGATGACCTGAAAACACGTGATCAAATTACGAGCGCCAGGAAGTCCCGCGTGATCAGATTGCGTTCTATGAGTTCCATTCATTCTTAGTGGAAGTGCAAAGGAAGCTGGCTAACACCTGCCGTGCATGCGTAATAGCAACCTAGAGATTAGGATTGCGGGCTCCCTTTGTCGCCCGCGATAAATCGCTTGGGCTTCCTGTGGCTATTCGTAAGATGTTCTAAGGCAATCCGTATGAAACCATTTGCACTAAAACTGTTTCCACGGAGTAAAATTTATTTTTTCAGTTCAAATTACTTCATCCTTCAGAGCTTTAGAGCTAGTGAACTGTTTAGAAGAAAACGAATATTTATCAAGTCATGGAGTTGGACATTTTGTCGCGTGATTTGTTCTGTGAATCACTTGACAAAACGTCTCGATAGACGGCGGGGTGCTCGTGACCAGCGTCCCTGTTTAACGTTGGAGCCCGACAAAATATTCGATGGCCACCCTGACTGGCCACTCCTGTAGAACATGCCCTCTTCTCTCGCAAGAATCGAAGAGGGGTTGATATCCAAGGTACATGTGGCCTGAACATCTGAGGTGATCCACCACTGTCGTTATTGACGCTGTTGTTATTGGAACGCGTTCCTTGAATCTCACTTCAGAACTTCTAGCTTCCTCCCCAATGTAGAAATCATCACAGCCTTCGAACTGAATTTCGTACTACACACCACCCCATATTTCTGTTTCCTGGGTGTCGGATCTCTCTATCCAGTAAATTGAATCTTCGTTTTATCAGGTTTCAAATACAGTCCTTGTGACAGGATAAATCAACTTTTTCTTCGCTAATAAGTAAACTATTTGCGATGTATTTTCTAGCTCAGTCGGTAAGTGGTAAAGATGGTCGTTTAGAAAAGGTTTTCATAACTGGCTATAGATGGGACGCAGAGAGGAAGAGAAACTTTCCACTTACAGCTATAAACATCATTAGGAGACACGCTGAAAACTTGTTGCTCAGCAACAGTGATAGTAGAGACGGCAAAGAGTCATTGGAGTTTATTCTAAGTTTCGCAAGCAGACGACGAGACATGGAGTCGATGAAACATGGTAAGAAATGCTGTCATACAATTTAAAATAGCTAAGGTCGAAAGTAATATCTCATGGGGATACGTGTCTTCCTCTCTCGAACAAAGTTGCTGCTTGTGCCCTTTTCTTCAGTTATACTTAGGTCTATTCATCTCCTTTTCTTTCTCTCTCTTTTTCTACTTCTTCTTCTTTTTCTTTCTCTTCTTGTTATTCTTCTTTGCAATTCCTCTTTTTGGTAATTCTTCGTGGCAATAATTTTTCGAATCCAGGACCCCAACAGCTACATGCGTTACATCGCCGCCAACATCAATCCCCTGAAAAACTTGCGGGAAAGTTCTGCAAAGACAGCTGAGTCTACTGCTGCAGGAAGATTAATTTTTTCCAAAAATATAGCGTTCAAATTTATGGACGTAATTCTAAGACTTTCTTCTGCTAGATAGTAATAAATCGGATTTGGTATTGAAAAATATAGATGATCGGAAATGTTATTAAAAATCAGTGCAAGCATTATTTTTTTTGTCTCTTTCTTTCAGTGATAAGACGAAAACTTGGTTTTCTGGGCAAAGAAGGTTACGATATCTTTGGAAACAACAAAATGTTTGCACCTCGCATCAAGTGGCAGTCCCTTGAAGACACAGTGGAACACATCAAAAATGCAGCTGAAAGTTACGAAATTGCTTTCAACAATATCATGTCTATAGAGCAGAGCAGCCAGGATTATAAACAGGTCAGTCCTCCTTACCACAGTGACTGTTTAACTGTTTGGGAATCTATGTTTCTGACATTTTTTTAAGTGCTGTGATCTAACCACAATTAACAATGGGACGAATTTACAGAGATGGGTACAAGAATACTCTTTCCGTTTTGCTGATCGACTTTGTGTACGAGCGTCAGCCCAGGACCATGTTTCTCGAAAGTCCTGGTAGGTTTTCAGGCCCGGAAAGCTAATTTTTTTCACGAGGTATTTGCATTTAAGATCAAAGTTTCAATAATTTTTACAATGATACAATGAAACTATCAGTTAATGAAGCAGAATTAACTGGTTTGTGCTCTAGGAACTGCTATTCAACAGGTTTTGAATTTAAACGGGTTGCCCTCGGGCCCGAAAAGTTTCTGGAGCTTTCGAGAAACGAGCCCCAGGCCCGTTGATGTCGATGAGATATCCGACCAGCATGCTGAGCTAGGTCTCGTTGATCTCGTGTCGCCTGCATGCATGGCAGAGGCAAAAACAAGGGAGAGGGAAAAAGAGAAAAGTACGCAAAGGAAAAGAGAAAGCCGGGGGGGGGAGCGCCTGCTATTAGAGCCAGTGTAGTGTTCCACGCAGGCGCTTATTTGTATTGAAGGCTTCATCACGCGCGAGGCTACGTTCTATTGCTTTCTCATCCAGCCCACAAATTTCCAAACTCCTTTCCTTCTCTTCTCAATTCCCGCCCCTCTTCTCCCCCCCTTCTCAATCCCAGCTCCTCCTTTCTCTCGCTTCCTGTCTCCTTTGTAAGATAATCCAAGTCTTGGATTCTAGATTCCACGCCGTGGATTCCAGATTCCAGGTACCAAATTTCGGATTCTTTGTCAGTGGAACTTGGATTCCTAATCCCAATCGTTAGTATGATTCTGGATTGCTTGGGCTGTAATCCGAATTTCATAGCCCAGGATTCCGGATCCCACAACTCCAATTTCCCGGATTCCGGATTCCACAAGAAAAACTTCCCCGATTTCGAAATCTGTATTCCCATTCGGCAAAGACTGAGTCTCGTGCCCAGCTCCTTTGACCGTCCAAGGGCCCTTACCGTGTCACCAATCGAAGTAAGTTGACGTAGATACCGTCGCAGGCCCTTTTTTGCCGTTACAAGGAACCTCGCAGACTACTAACGCTGTGTTAGAAAATTGTATCTGATTCTATTAACTAAAACGCAATTATTGTATGTGGTTTTTTTAATCTCTTTTATATTACGTAATTGACAACCAAACCAACAGTCCTGTCTTTTTTTGTAGATTGCTTCCAAAATGACTGCGGCGACATCAGTACGAATAAATGGACACTTGAAGCGACTAAAAGATGCAAAATCTGGAGCTGAAAGTGAAAAACGAGCGTACGTTAAGGTATTCAGAGTATAATTACCCTCGGAGTACTGTTACGTAAGGGTAGTCCTTCCATCAAGGTTGGCATGAACGCATGTGTCAGTGCACTCTGAGTTCGACATATGTCACCACCCCTATTGTTTTCCCAGCCAATCACAAACCTTGTTTGGAATAGGTGCAGGTCGGCCCGCCTAGAGTGGGTATCGCCTAGCTGAACATGAATTTTAGATTGCAATTTTAGAGTGCTCTCGGTTACGAAACTTCTGCAGTGATGTTTCACGACATTCCAACTTTTCTGAAGCTGTTTGTATGTAAAGAATTTGCGAGTCTTAATAATGATTCTGTACTGTTTACTTAAGAATATTCACTTTCTTTTAAACAGAGTATTCAGCAATTGGAGGAGCAGATGAATGATATTCTTAAGAATATCGTCAATTTGTTACCCCAGATTTATGCAAGATCAAGGTTTCAAGTCGACGACTTTCTCGCAATACTTCAGGGGATAGCAGGATTTGCCTCAGGCATTGCTTCCAGAGATCCATTCACGGTTATTGACTCTGTTATAGGTCTCGCAGGAGCGACATATTCATTGGTAGGAAACACGTGCTTTCAGTCTCTTCAGTCGTATATGGGAAGCGTCAAACGATGGCTGACTTTCGGACAGCATTACAAACCTTTGGCTGATTCAAGTGATTTGGATTTTGACCAACTCGATGTTAGTTCCATTCCTCAGATCATGCAGGTATGCTAAAATAAAAAAACCACTGCTTCGGTAGATTCAAAATGATGTCGTTTTGTGTTGGATTTGGAATTCTATCGCAACTTTTCGTTTTTGGCTGAAAAATTCATGGCTCTTTTGTTTCAACCAATCAGAAGTAAAACCAAGACCAATCTGTAGATCTGCGCATGCGCACAAATTTACCGGTGCTTTAAGCTCGCTCTGCGTTCATAGATAGTCATAGTTTTTGCTTCAAAATCCAATTAGTTCTTGTATTATTTACTAAAAACTTTGAGGTATTGTTTTTTATTCGTGTAATGACCTTGCAGATCTGTATACAGTACTAATGGCAGTTCGTTTTCTTTAACTGTAGGCCAATCTTGACATTAACAAAGAAAAATTCGCCGCCGAGTTAGTCTGCCTGTTGGATGTGGCTTCCGACCCAAAAGAAGTAGCAGCCTTCACGCAGCACTTAGAGTCGTTTTTCATTTTGGCATCAGCCCGTATTGACCTGATAGCAGAGGTTATGACGCTTGACGGCGATATTGGTGGATGTGAATTTGATATTTCTCTCACTGAGCAGACCGAAAAGGCGCTTAAAGAGGCCACTGAAACACCAGGTAAAGTAAGAACTGCATGTACACACAAGACAATGGGAGCATAATTATCAATCAGATTGTATATTTAATAAAAATGATGATGATGATGATAATGATTATTATTAACATTGTCATCGCCAACATCATCATCATCATCATCATCATGAAAATAGCATTCAATGTTTATATTAATTCGAATTTTAAACCTTTTAAAAAATCAAAAAAGCATTGCACAAGGATGAGACTAAGACACAGCTCCATATTTATGCACTTAAGTTGTAATTTAACACGAAGGACAAGGTATATAATAAAAAAGCCTCCGATAACTTAAGCCAAGTCACTGTGTTCTTCTCTAAACCAGTGGCTAAAGAACGGTTAAATTCAGCTCTATGGTTGCTTGAGGGTCCTGCAAAACAAGGCCCACATTACCCCTTAGGTTGTCGGGTAAGTTCGCTGGCACCACATGCACACTGGCTAATAAGAGTCTTCAAGGAAAGCATTTACTAAAAACTCTTATTTATAAGGTATTCCAATTCCGATTTTTTATTACAGCATTATCAAAGGGTTATGTGAGCTCCTCTTGAGCAATAAGAACGTGGTAGTTCAAATGTGCCCTAAATTCTTCAAGGGGAGGAGGGGGGAACGCCCATTCTGATCCTGCCGGAGACGTACCTTCGGTGCCTGTCCTCGCGCACGAAATCTTTGGATTATTTTACTGCTTCTTTTTATTTCTTAATTGTCATTCTTTCATTGAAGATGACTCTATTACCCCGAGTCTTCGGCAAAAGTTTCTGGATTGTCTGTTCAACACTTACCAAGAACTTGAATGGTCTTTCATGAAGAAAATATATGAACTTCACAAAGCCTTCGCTTTCCGTACACTATGGGAAGGGAATAACCTACTGGAGTCTTATCGGCGCCTGGCCCGAGACAGTGCAATGGCTATTGGGCGCCTAAATGGCGTTGTTTACCTCACAAAAGTGCTTCGAAGACTTCAAGAACTTAAAGATAAAGCGAACAAGTGCTTCACTTATAACAGATACACCACTGGTATCCATAAATGGAGTTTCAATATTAAAAATGACAAAATGGTAAGCTAGACGCAGAATGAAGGCCCTTAGTATAGAGGGTTATAATTGATTATCTTTATAATTGATTAATTAGTTAATTTATCTATTACATACTGCTAAATAATCAAAAACATAAACGGGATCTGAAAATAAAACAGTAACTGACGGTGTTTGGAATGAAATAAAACTGCGCAATCAGTTAAGAGCTTAATGCTGTTACTACCTATACCTCTAAAGGCTTATTTACTTGAATATTTTTTTGGGATCGACTGTGCATAACTTTCAGTTCGACACGTTTTCCCGCAACGACTTTAATTAAGGTTGATGACTTCGTACCCCAAATGCACGCATGCTCTGTATAACATATTGCCGATCGTGCTCGTTCTTTAAACTCCTTACTATAATATGTGCCTTTTTTTCATATGTTAGATGTTTGATGAGCTTGCGTCAAAAGGACACACGCGTTTCAGCATTAGTATTGATGATAGCTGTACACAGTGTTATAATGTTCGTCTACTCAAGGTAAGCTTGTCTATCCACAAGTCTTTATCTCTTCGCGCTTTTTGCCGCATTACTGTTCATTCTTTTTACCCCCGGGATAAAATATGAAAACAAAGGACTCGCAAATTTGGGTTAATTTCTTCTTCTCACTATTTCCTTTCTTCAAAGCTAATCGTGATTCTTCCTGCTAGTTCAGTTTGTCAAGTGTGTGCGAAAATTAGTGGGATTTTTATATGGGAAAAATAACTCTTACCACCCTGTCAGGGTTGAGTAGTTTTTCGTACAAATTCGCCCCGTGTAAGGAAATCCAAGACAGTCTTGGATTCTGGATTTTGGATTCCAGGCACTTGATTCCAGTCTTTTTAAGAGAAACTTGGATTCTGGATTCCAGTCGTTAGTGGGACTCTGAATTCCTCGCAAATTTTCGTAAAATCTTTGCTTACGCATTACAGGGCACGAATCATTTTTTTTTTCTTTTCAAAATGAACTGTTTTTCTCTTTACAGAGAGTTGATCACGTGACTAACTTGCTTTTTGATAAACAGCCGTAACGCACAGTTTTAAATGGCACGATTGGCTCAGAAGAAGCGAAAATAAGGATGATTGGTGCATTGCGTCTTCCCGAAAAAATGCCCGGGGGGGACGGGAATGTTCGTCGTCTCGCTTTGGGTTGTGAATAGCAGATATTGGTCTCACTTAGGGCGTTTGGGACGGAAAGCCAATATATTTGGCCATTCAGGTATCGTAAAGCCGCTGTACGTAGAGAAATTTACAAAAAATGCCGTGATACAGAAGTGGCCTTTTGTTCTCACTTCTCACTTGGAGGTTTGAATTTAGTTTTCCGACGTGCATCCACGTCTTTTTTTATATCGGAATCCCTTCCCGGGGACTGAATGACACATCTCATCTATTAAAATCTTAGCATTCTTCTGAAATAACATATTGTCTTTAAACACCGCTTAGATTTATATTGAGTTAAGTGGCAAAGAGAAGCAGCCAAAGGGAATTCCTTCTGATATCCATCTTCAAGTCCGCCATCTAAGCGGATCCTTCTTCCAAGCGGGTGACAACACCATCAAACAGTATTATCAGCCGATAGCGTCATACAGGAATATCAAGTTTAACCGGTTTACGCTAAGTAATGACAGGAAATGTAGGCAAAGTAGAAGGAGAAAAGGAAGAACTTCAAGTGAGTTTTGAAAAAAATTACTTAAAATAAAATTGCCATTGTTTTCTTTGTTTCACAGTGAATGAATGAGTGAATGAACGAACGAACGAACGAACGAATGAATGAATGAATGAATGAATGAATGAATGAGTGAGTGAGTGAGTGAGTGAATGAATGAATGAATGAGTGAGTGAGTGAGTGAATGAATGAATGAATGAATGAATGAGTGAGTGAGTGAGTGAGTGAGTGAGTGAGTGAATGAATGAATGAATGAATGAATGAATGAATGAGTGAGTGAGTGAGTGAGTGAGTGAATGAATGAATGAATGAATGAATGAGTGAATGAATGAATGAATGAATGAATGAATGAATGAATGAATGAATGAATGAATGAATGAATGAATGAATGAATGAATGAATAGTGTCAGAGTCAAGCTTTCTACCTAATGTTGCTAATTACGGTACGTCGATAATGAATAATATTTCGTGCAGCAATACATTTAACGGCTAATTGATTAAGCTATAGAAACAAAACGTATACCCTCGTGATAGTCCCAGCAAGTGTTGCACAGAACAAGACTAAATCACCCTCTTTCAATTTCTTTTTTCATTCATTTCATTGCATTTTTTATTTCACCACTCATATCTTTCTTGCATCGATAAACTACTATTGAAATATGTGAATGACTAAAAACAACCCTCACAATTCCAAAGCCTTTACTGTTATGTACTTAAATAATCTTGTACTTTCTTTTCATGTCACGGTCTCAGAGACATATTGCGTTACCGAGAATGACTCTCGTTGGGAACCAATGTGCAATCATGTACTGAACAAGCACGGAAGTCATGAAAAAGATGCACTGTTGGGAATGGAAGAATGTCAAAGTCCGTTTGGTATCTACGAGGTTAAGATACCTGTAAATAAAAACCTGGAGTGTGGTGGCATCGGGATAACAGGAAACAACTGTAAAGATATTGATGTGAGTGTTTATAGTGAAATACTGTTTTATGAACGGTGAGAACCCGAACGTACATACCGTAAAATTCCGAAAATAAGCCCCGCCAAATGTAAACCCCCCAAACCGGTAACGCCAAAATCCCTCCGTTAAATCGCCCCTCCAAATATAAGCCCCCCCCCCCCCCCGGGGGGGCTTGTACTTGGAAAATTGCCCTCAAATACAAAGTAAAACAAAGAAAAAACGGTAAATTTACCTCAAGTATGAGGCTAGCCCGATCGATTTTGAAACGCAAATTCCCTTCCGTAGATAAGCCCCTCCAAAAATAAGCCCCTCAAGAAGGGCCTTTGAAAAATATAAGCCCCGGGGTTTATTTTCGGAATTTTACGGTATTTCTCCCGAGAACTCGGGTGCTAGGAAAATTTGGGAAGAGATGGCCGAGGTAAAAGGGTAAGAAGAGGGGGAGGGAGGGTAACAGTTACTGAGACAAGCTCTCTTATGGCTGGCTTTTTTCCCAACCGAACGACCCAAAAAGAAGTGCGAATAGCAAGCAGGGAAGCTTGGAGGAAAGTTCAAAGAAATTCAGTCCAGAATTGAAAGGTTTCCGCTTTGGTCGCTTTTACAAGGCAGCTCTTAACAATCAAGTTACAATTACAATTACAATTACAATTAGCGTTGTCAAAAAGAAAAAGTGAACATTAGAGAGTTATAACCTGCCAAACAACGACAAAACTCTCATTTGGAACAAGTTTTACTTTTGTTCTTCTTTTATTTATAAAAAAAAGTTGCAATGACGATCAATATAGTTTTGTCAATTCTGAGGAATGATGTACGACAGTATCATGCAACTCTTTAATTACTAAGTTATTACTTTCGTTCCCCTCAACGCCACCGTTACATAGCGAAATTGCATCTTCCGTTCAATAAATAGGACACTACAAAAACCATGCTTTCAAAACGAGGCGAAGTGCAAAGTTCTTTTTCAGGTTTATTGTTTGCAAAGGATACATACCTATTTTCGTATCACAGACTTTTTATTAAAGACTCGTTTTGAAAAAGAAGGTAGAGGCACAATACTCGGAACTGGTCTCATTGCTTCTTTATGATGCAAACATGTGCATTTTACGGAAATGTTAATAATTCATTTACTTTCGCATCAATACAGCTGACCAAGTTCACGCAGATGAATGTATGGACACAATATGTTTACTGGTTTGGAGAATACCCCAAGGGTCCAGATGACGTTGTGTGTCGCAAAAGCCAACAACGCAAAAGAAATGAAACACTGAGCACTTGGTGAAGGAAGACCTTTTGAGCTGCGAAGGTCTTTTTGGGCTTCATGTATCGAAAAAAGTGTTGAATTATTACCTTAAGTAATAGTAATATTTTATAAAAAGAACTCTTGGAGTAAAAACAAACTGAATTTACCAGATAAATTACGTTACTGACAACAATGATAATCATACTAGTTAAAATATCGAAATTTAAAAAAGTTAACTGCCCTCTTTGTCTTACAGGTAATAGACTCATTAAACAAATAGAAGTTGTCTGCGTTCTTCCTTAGATTATACTCCGGCTTATTTTATAATGATTGCCGAGCTTTGGCAATAGAGCGTTTTCACTTACGTGGCCAGCATCTATGCAAATTTATGGAAACAAAATAAGGCGTTTACAAAAGAGTAACTCCTACGAGATTGGTTTGGGACACCAACATGGCCACCGTTTCATTGTTTTGGGACAGCATATGGCCGCCGTGAGGTCATGTGAAAACACTCTATAAGCTTCTATAGGAAGTAAAATGGATGGTCTTTAGACTTAATCTTATTCACTAGAGTCATCTCTTCTTTTCTTTAGTCTTGTAATGTTTGCTAATTGCAGGGCCTCCGTGTAAGGACTCAGCTTCAGGATAAATTCTCCTCAAAGCCCTTTTTGCACTCCTTCGATTACATGGCATAAATCTGAATAGCCTTCCATACAGGGACAACATATTCTAATTCTAATACAGGTCTAACTGTACTTAGATGAACCTTAAGAATGTTATCTTGCGCCACTCCAGCCCTACATATTTAATATCCTAAGAGGGTATAGAGGGGGACATGGGGGTTTACGGTATTGCGGTATTGGGCTTTTTTTCATGAGGTATTGCGGTAATTTTGATTTTAACGTGCGGTATTGCGGTATCATCTAGCCTTGCGGTATGCGGTAATTCATCATTTTGGCTGACGGTATTCGGTGAAATATGATTGTTTACGGTATTGCGGTTCGGTTGTTTGCGCTTTGCTTTCGATACAATACGCAAAACAAAACACGGTAAGACATAAAGGTCAAGAAAAGTTAATATTTACAAGTCTTTAGACATAATGGTAAATGTTACATCATTTGTGGGTCATTTTGTGACAGTTAATGGTCGATAATAATAGGTCAAGATACAATGAGATTGTTGTTGCATCCAATGACAATGAGTTGTCTCAAGTTACCTTACCAGGCACGTGTGCCGGTAATTCGAGGTCTTACACGTTTTCTCACGATGGCTTAGGTCGCTTTGGTTCAAGACGGTCAAGACGGCGAAGTCATCATTGACTGCGTTGCAATTTTTTACGAAGAAGGCAAAGGAGGGGAAAATTATCGCAAGAAAAATAAGTTTCGATGCCGGGTTTCAAGTACAGAAAAACGGCTTGTAAAGTTAAAGGAGAGGATTTGGTAAGTTTGCTTCTTTAGTTCTTACCGGTGCGGCGTGTGAAATAGGTCAGATAGTCGAGATAGGTGACTCAAAACTCGCACTAGACGTGCGTGGAAAGGATTTTGGTTGGTTTGTTTTTTGTTTTTGTTTTCAAGCTTTCAAGAGTTATTTCCATACGAGTTAATTAGCTTTTGGATCGACCTATAAGACCCTATAACCAGAATTGTCTGTGAGCTAGGTACTCGCAGTTTGCCAGGAAGGTCAGGAAGCCGTTTAGTCCATTTGAAGTGACCAAGAATAAAAGTCCGGCACAATTTTTTGATTCGTATAATCTAAGAAAGCTCTAATATTGTCTCTGATTTAGTTAGACTCTCTGTTTTACTGTTTTGAGGGGGAGTTTAGGGCTTACGGTATTGCTATTCCGTTCCTATTTGTCCACGGACTCCCACGCTGGGATGACCCGGGGTCAAGGACAACAAGATTTGGTTCGGACGTCTTATTTACCAATCAGAAGAAGTCATCTGTTTGGCATCTTAAACCGTGTGGCGAATTAGATCTGTTTGCTGGCTCTGACAAAGAAGAAGGAATTGTCGACGGACCCATCAAGACTTGTCGGTTTAAACAACCAATGGGTATTTGTACCGAGTTTGACAGTGTTGTTTATGTTTGTGATGCGCAGGCGAACTCCTTAATGGTCTGTACTGAGGTTAAACAGTGTTCTCTTTTTCTAAACGCCATGGGGTCCTTGTATAATGCATTCAACATACACTGTTAAGAGACCTGATGAGGCTCTTATTCTTGTTCGACAGTGCAAAGACTTTCTTAACGATATTACCGTGGACATAAGATCTAACACAGGAATTTCTCGAACACTAAATGGACGAGAAGGTCACGTCTCGGCCAAGACTGTGCAATCAGTTAGCACTGATTTCTGAATGGGGTTTTCAGAGACTGTTCGACAACTTAAAGACCTTTGATTATCAAGCAACTAATTTGTTGAGCTGCATGACGTTGGACGTCGAAAATTGCCACTACACCGTTCACATGAAGCAGGCTAACATGTCTGCGAAGGAGTACAGCAGATCCTTCGGAGTTACGATGAAAGAATCCGTCAAGAGAGTGACCCAGTGGGGGGCATATTACCACACGAGCAGAAAATCGTGGTATCCAAAACCTGAAGAAACGATTTCATTTTCAATAGTACCTACCATGAAACCCTTACCTGTCGTTGATTTATCGCAAGCAGACTGCGAAATTCTACGAAACGGGGCCTCCTCTTATGGGGCTGCTGTGCGACAACGGACAGTGCGCCAAGAAACAACAATGGCAAAGCATGGTACTCTACCAGAATTCATGTACCAGAGAGAGTGTGTCGCATTAGACAACCCGGTCACCATCACTTCTGCGCAACATGAAGGTGCCAAGGCCACCAAAACAGTGGATGACCAAACAGCAGAAGATGATACAGCAGATGAGGAATTGGTGGATGAGTTCGATCCTAGTAGTGATGAGGAAATTGAGGAAACTACTGATGAAAGTGCTCTAGTTCTTCAAGGAACTCTTCAAGGGGAAATCGGAAGCGCAGCAAACTTCCTCCTTGGTGCACGATCTCGATTTGGCAGAGTTATTCGATTTAATAACCGTTTATTGTACTGAAAGACGGTTGCATTTGTCCGATGCTGCTACGGATAGACTGGCCTACACTTGACCGGAAATTGGGCGATATACGTGATGACGTGTTTTGACTACCACTACCACTACTACCAGAATCCTTTACGATTTTCCTGTTTTGTGCAAGTTAGAGCGTTAAATTTGTTATATAACGCTTTGGAATTAACAAATTTAATATGAAAGGGAAAACTAAATGTATTCAAGTAGTAGTAGTAGTAGTTGTAGACGGTTCACAGTCCCCTATTTTTCCGTAAGACCATCAAGATCGAGCGCTTTGCGTACTGGCGGCCATATTGCATCCTGACGGTCTCACGGGAAAATAGGGAACTGTGAACAGTCTAAACCGGTTGTAGTAATAATGACGCCATCAAGCAAATGCCCTTTAGAAAACCGTTTTAAGGTAAGAGAATTGTTATTCACTATTAGGACTGTATTAGGGATCGCGCCTCACTGCATGCTTTTCGTTTTGTATACTCCTACCAAAAGGTTGAACGAATGAAGTTTACTTTTCAGTGAAAATTTGCGAACTACCAAAATATTAAAAAAAACATGGACATCTTTGTGCATAAATGCCTGAGATAATTAAACGCGCTAGATGGAAGCAACCATAAGTATGCGGAACCGATTATAAATGTAATTAAAATATACGGTATCGGTATTTAGTCGATTTGCGACGCGGTATTTCGGTATTTGCCATTTTTTCGTACGGTATTGCGGTATTGGGTACCCCCCAATGTCTCCCTCGGTATAACTTCTTACTGGCTTTCTTGACGATGAGATCTATATGGTTATTCCATTTAACTTCATTGTTCATTATTACTCCTAAGATCTCAGTGTAATTTTTAACATTTTGAGAAAGCCACATTCATTTATTTCAATAATTGACTATAAAATGCTGTCTGTATTATAAACCATCTCACCAGTTTTGTCAACTTACTTTAAGTTATAGAAGTACAAAAGAATAAAATCTTTCTAAACTTCACGCAGCAAGACTTATAACTGTATAATTACATGATGTTTTCCATTTACATTAGCACCAAATATAACTAGCTAATACACGTTGCTGCATTGTAAATTTTACCAACTATCAACCCAGTGATAGAGTTTTTTTTCTTTTTTCCCACAACCTTTTAGCTTTTCATTTTGCAGAAACTTGATTGGATGTACTCATTTGAATAAGAATAGTTAGGATAAAAATAGATACCTTGTCATGTTCTCCTTGGCCACCCACATGTGAAAAAATATATATTCCCACAAATCCTTGCGTGAGCAATGCATGGCCACCATCTCAGGGTCCAAAATTAGATTTTGTTATCCAGGTGCCAAGAGGCGACTGAAGTATTTTTTCTTTTGCCAGATGGAAAATTCTGGTCACCAGCAAGTGCCTGTTAAGTTTTTGCTTTTCCGGGAAACATCTTAAAACATTAAATCAGGCTTTAATACTCATGAACAAACGTAGAAGACTGCCATGTACAAAAAGGCATTATATGATTGTGTAGCTTAGGCATCTTCGTTGAAAAGGACTTTTCATGAAATAGATAGCCCTCCTTTCCAAGGACGTACACGCTGCAAAACTAACCGCCATGTTGCTCGTACCAGTCTCCTACATTTGGTGATTTCGTTCACCCGTGAATAGTCAATGCTTTTTTATTTTCTTACCTTGAAGTTTTTTCTTACACTGAAGTTTCTTCTGGAAATCAAGCACACTATTTTTTTTTTATTTAAACCGAAATTAATTCCTTGAGCGCCGGTTCAAAACATTGACCAGGTTGACAAGGCACTGAAAGTTAGTTGCCTGTTGGCAACTAGCCTTGAAATTCTGGTCGCCAGCATTAATTTTTCAGTCACATTGGCAACCAGCTGGTCGCAATTTTGGACCCTGCATCTTTGGTTACCAATCCTCCTGGTAATTGAACTGGTAACCAACTGGCAACCAGGTCTTTTACGGTGTAAACCAAGTTGGAGTTCGTAATCCGAGGAAATTCAAAAGTCCCCAACCCTGGGACTTGGATATAATCAAACGTCCCCACCACTGGCCGACTTCCTTGGTCAAATTCCCGGGCTTTTCCCTGCCACCCCCTCCAGATTAACGTTCATTGTTGTATTAAATCTGAACTATTTTTTCTCAGTTCAATGAGGGCAATTACTTTGATTACCTGGTATTATGGCAGCCAACTTGACTGACAAAATCTACATGGTGTTAATCAGAAATTGGACTACATGTACAATAAATGTAACACTCTCATTTGCATACATTGCCATTAAAAATGTAGTCTCCCACTGGGGAGGAGCGTTGCGTGACGAGTGACGACCCTAATAACGGCTGCGAAGGAGACTATTAAAAATGTTGCATCAACCTTTTTAAGTCCTCGTTGAACAAGCCATTATAGCAACTCTCCTATCCTATCTCTCCCATCCATCTGATCACATCTATCCCTTCCCGTTGTGATTCACGTCTTTGTTTCAGGAAGCTTAACTTACATGTTACACCTCTGGTTCAAATTCCCCTCTCCATCCAGGCAAAGGTCAAATTCCCCACTACCTGGGCACAGTCCCCGGGGGGGGCACTGCCAAATATGGGCTATATAGGTATGTGCCGCTGTGAAGGGTATGGTTTTCAAGCAGTTTACTCTAGGATAGGGTATATAAATCAGAGCGTTTGGGTCTAGAATAGATTATTATTTTTCAGGAAACTAATCAGTTGGTTGAAGATTTTATCTAGACTAGGGAAACAGGTACTCTAGGATAGGGGGGATTTGGGAGTTTACTCAAGTATTGGGTAGCAAAATTCAGCTGAACTAGCTCTGGTATAGGTTAAGGGTTCCAGGGTCCCAGCGGCACATCCCCACCCAGAAATTCCTAAAGTACCCCCCCCGGGGCACAGTCGTGATGTTCAAATGTCCCAGGTTTGCTGAGGGGTGGTTAAAGCTTTAAAATGATCAATGCATAAGGCCCAGTTCAAATGTTGATCTTTTCATATACCGAACCTAATCTCCTTATTAAGTACATGAAAAGATTGACAACTGGATCGATTAAGTTTGACCTATCTAATTTGGGTCGACCCATGAATTAAGATCGAGTGGCCCACTTGGGAATTTCGACTGTGGAGCGACTTAGTTTCAAACATCGAACATCTCATATGTCAAACCTAATGCAAAATTTTAGTAATTGTTACTAAAATATATATATTTTCACTTGTAAGCATTTCAGCCCATCGAATATGCGAAAATGAATATTGAGTCCAACTTGTGAAGTTTAACATCCGAATCAACCGTTGAACTTACATCATTTGGGCAACTTTAATAGGTATAGTAAACACCCGCATATAAGAACACATGATTTCAGGGTTCAGGCTGATCTAGTTCTTACTTATTGAGTGCTTAGTAAGAAATCAGCCTGAATTGGTTACCAGTCGGTTACCAGTTTCAGTTTTGGTAACCATAAATGGTAGCCATTGCTCCCAAAACGACCCGTGGTGATTTTTTATACACTTGTGAGCAGCCAAGAAGAACACAACAAGGTATCTATTTTATCCTTTCTATTCTTATTCAGTTGAATAAATTAAACATTTTATTCAACTTTCCGCAAAAGGAAAAGCTAAAAGATTGTGAAACACAAAAACTCTATCACTGGGTTGACAGTAAATAATTTAGCAATAAGGGCGCCATCGATAGAGCGACGAGAAATGTAATAATATAACCCCAATTTCAGATGTCCAGAAGGTTCACTACACCATATAAATACATGTTAATTTAACGATGAGACTGGTTTGATTTTGGGGATGAGGGTAGAACATGCACGCCAGTCAATGTCTGTGTTTTAGGTCAATCTAAAATTCAGTTATCAAAAGTTTTTTCCTAACCCTAGTTATTCATGATCATGAATAATTAGGATTAGTAAATAAAGAGGTTATACCTGCAACATCTGCATTACCAGACTCTTTGCCTTTGTAAATTCACCAACTCGTATGTATTGCATTCTGATCGTAAACTTATGATACTTACAACCAAGATTCACACAGAATATCAAATATACCCATAGTTTACCGATAATTTAGAACCAATAGTTTTGGCTTTTTACACTGCTTATTTTTCAAGTTTTGTACCCACCCCTCATCCCTCACTCCTCACCCCTTTACATTTTCAGGTATCCCTTACTCCTATGCCCATACACCTTGCCCCTAATTCAGATTTAAGGCACGTAGATGATATTAATCAAAGCATGTCTTATTTTATTTTATTTTTTCGCTCCACTGCTATTTTATGTCTGGTGATCACTTTTTTTGTTTTTGTCAGTCAAATTGCAACTTTGAAGAAAACTTGAGCTTGGAGCACGACACACTTTAATATTTTACCATCATAAGAGTATTAATACCACGGAAAGAAAAAAAAAGATGTTAAAGATGTTATGCCAATTAATTATTCATATACCCCTCCTAAAAATAGAGTGCTTTTATTCTTAATTTATTGCTTTATCTTCCTTAATTTATTTATTCTTAATTTACTGTTCCTGAGTTAGTAAATACCCTTCAATATGAATCTTGATTCATTCCCAGCCATAATATTCAAAAATTGCCCAATTTACAACTACACAAGTTGTGACAGTGCCCCTCTTATCTAGCAGGATACCGGTGTTTCTTTTTAGAAAACGTAAAGCCTATGACAACAACAATAACAATATTAATGAAAATTGCTTCGTTTGTATTTTCTTTATGACCATAGGATTGATGAAAAGGAGGTGGCACACCATGTCCTTTCAGTACGAACAGTTTAAATAGACACTACAATTTTTAGGATTAAAAAAGATCACACACTGCAGAGAAGCTTGACATACATGTAAACAGTGTGGCAATTGTTTAGATGATATGGAAACCTGAGGAAACACGAAAGAGTCCACACTGAATACAAGTCTGGATGACAACAGCATGGCAAGTCTTCTAACCACAGACAAAAACCTAAATACTCACGAAAGAGTTCACACTAGAGAGAAGCCTTATGAATGTAAACAGTGTGGCAAATGTTTTAGTTGAGCAGGACACCTAAGGAGACACTAAAGGTGTCACACTGGGGAGAGGCCTTGTGAATGTAAACAGTGTGGAAAGCGTTTTTGTCGCGCAGAAAACCTAAGGAGACACAAAAGAATTCATACTGGAGAGAAGCCATATGAATGTAAACAGTGTGGCAAGCGTTTTAACCAAGCAGGACCCCTAAGGACTCACAAACGAGTCCACACCGGGGAGAAGCCTTATGAATGTAAACAATGTGGAAAGTGTTTTAGTAGCGCAGGAGACCTAAAGAAACACAAAAGAGTTCACACTAGGGAGAATCCTTATGAATGTAACCAGTGTGGCAGGTGGTTTAGCCAAACAGGACACCTAAGGACACACAAAAGAGTTCATACTGGAGAGAAGCCATATGAATGTAAACAGTGTGGCAAGCGTTTTAACCAAGCAGGACCCCTAAGGACTCACAAACGAGTCCACACCGGGGAGAAGCCTTATGAATGTAAACAGTGTGGCAAGTGGTTTAGCCAAGGAAGAGACTTAAGAAAAACGAAAAAACGAAAAACGTCATGCTCAAAAAAGGTCGTATAAACGTAAAGGTAACGAATCTTCGTTTAAACGTATTTTTTGCAAGCGTAAGCGAGGAGGAAGTAGAAGTCTGAACATTAATACAGGATTAACAGACAACCCACTGACTCAGAGCGAGACTGGACAAAGTGGTATGGTAGACCTGTAATCAGCCATCATTGAGAAACACAGCTGCTGGATTTGCCAAGAGGAGATGGATACTGAGGCTCTTCTTCTGCAACATTATGAAAATCACATGAGACATGCATGTACATGAAGAAGACCTGTAAAGATCAAGCATGTTTCGGTTTTTCAAGTTTTGTTTCAGTTCTTTAAGGTTTTGTTAAATGTAAACGTCAACTGGTCGGTTTAGCATGTTTCATGATCAGCATGAGTTTCTCTTCAAGGTCGGATTTTGCTAGTTCTGTTATACAAGTTGATATCATCCTGTAGGGCTTAAGTCGCGTTCCATCGACCGAACTCCGCAATTGCCGAAAAATGGAATTTAAGTTTTATATCACTTGCTTTGGAATTCGTTGCATCGTGAAATCTGGAAAACGTGTTGAAATAGAAAATTAACTTGCGTGTATGTTTCCAGCGGGTCAAAAATTACGGTTGAAAAGATTTGTAACAAAATCCCCGCACCTTATTCTGGAAGGCGATCAGTCGAACGCTCTGTTGGGAGTTGGATGCAAGTTTTTGGCCATGCCCAGAACATGGGCAATTATTTGGTATAATCGTTTTGTAATATTAATAAGAATAATATTTATGGTAGCAAAGTACATATAATATAATAAAAAAAATGCTTAAGGACTAGTGAAGTTGTGTAGGATGGAGGGTGCCCCAGAGCGTTTAGAAAAGTATCAAATGGAATAAACGATATGAAGTAACCTCCTGTTAACTTGCGTGGCGGGCGTTTGAAAAGAAAAGGGCAAGGTGATTCCGGGGGTGCGAGAAGCGCAAAATGCTAGTAAGGACTCGCATCCAAATTTCCTTCCCCTTTCCTTTCGAACGCCTGCCACGCTGGCTAACCTCTCATGTGTCCCCACCCCTTCCCCCTCAACTCTCCTTTCACAGCTTTAAAATCTCATAATCTGACATACATTGTATCACCAAATATACGCTCACTTTGCGAGGGGTTTGTACTCGGAACTTGAAATGAAGTCAACCAGCTCTCTACGTACATTTGTTTATAGCCGATTTTGTTTGTTTGCAATTGTATTAGAAGGAAAATGATAATCTTAGAATACGTTTTTAGCAGTTAGGCTACACAGCCCCTAAGAAGAAAACCAGAACGCCGGCGGAAAATCTTCTCCTCTTTTCAAAGATATAGTATCCTAATGTGAGTGGCCTCTGAATTGAGATGAAATGACGAGGGAGAAGAGAGCGACGCCGGAATGATTGATTTATTAATTGGTTAGCCGATAGTGCCTCTTTCAGCTCACGGAATGCCAGTGGCTCAGTATTGTGATGCCTAGCGATTGTTGTTTCCCGTGTCGTTTCAAATTGTCGTCCGGATCGCCTCTGTTGTTTTAAACTGTTTAGGCTCATTCTCTCTTGGGCTTGCAAATAAAAAAAAATAATTTATCTCTCATGAAGCCAGAGCTAATGGAGTTTATCGACATTTGAAAACAATGGCTACACCTATGTTAGTTATCGAGTTAGGCTGCAAAAAGTACAAGCCGAAGCAAACTGAATTTATTCTTGTATCAGTTTTTACTCGCCTAACTAGGTAAGGTTAGCAGTTAAAAATATTTAAATCCTTTCATTTTCCTAGGTTACAGAAACGATTGCTTTTTTCCCCATACAAACCCTTATATTTCGAATGTTACGCAACAATGCCGACGCTCATATTTCGAGCTTGGGCCGCCACCTGTGGTTCCGACCAAAGGGTAGGGTTTTTGCGCCCTTTTCAGTCTTCCGGGTCTGGAACCGGGTACGGTTCTCGAGTGAACCCGCAAGAGTTTATGCACGTATTCATTGTTTCACTGATAATTTCGACATGAGCTAGAAAAGAAGAGAAATATGCGAATTCGAAATGGATTTGAAGAAATACGTTTTGCTCTTGTTCTAATCTAGTAATGATCAAATAGTTTCTTAGAGACCAGGTCGAAACCTACCGGTATGAAATGACTCCTGGGTTCAAACCTTTCACAATTAAAATTAAATGAACAACAGACATATGATATTAAATGACGAAAAAGAAATAATTGATGGTAATGGTAATGGAACATAATTAAATGAAAAGCCACCATGATGGCTTGACAAATAGACACATCATAGAATGGCAAATATACATAATTAAATAACTGAATGACAGTAAAGGGACTTTGTCACGATAGTGCGCATCTGTGAGCTGTGACAGTAACTGATTGTTTTCAAACCAATCGGACGCGACTTAGATGCACGCAAGGAAATTTACATTGTTAGCAAGCGGGAGAATTCCGGACGTTTTTGTTCGATTCTAATATATATATCACCATGATTTATCTTTAATATTCTCTGGTATTCCTTAGATATATGTTGCAGCCGATAAGGATAAGATTAAGAAGCCTGTCCTGCCTTGAAACAAACATTTTAATTCCTAGGTGTATTTTTACGTACCCACGCTGATCTCCGTGATCAGCATACAAAAATAATTTGTAAACAAACTCTCTGTTTGCCCTATATAAACTTACTGGAAATATCTGCAAAGTGCGCCTGACCGGTGACCGAAACACACGGTATCGAATGAGGCAAAGCTTTTGCTTAAAATGCCAGCTAAATGTGTACTATAATAAAAAAAAGCCATGCGGTCGGCTAGCGCGATCAACACTCTGTATGAACACTGTAGCTCAGTCGATTGATACCAGCTAAAAATCGTAGCAGTGTTTTGAAAGCAATTTTTAATAGCGTTTCATCATCATAAAACGCTTTCATTGAAATAGTAGCCTCATAACGTATAAGTATTAAGATTATTCTAAAAGAACAACGCAAAATTAAGCATAAACAGGAGCCCATCACTATGGCATATTAATTTCAGTTGTTTATTATCCTACGAGCAAAGGCCCTTCGATCTTCCTATCTAGGAATATCGAAGAGCCTCTGCTCGCGGGATAGTTGCCTATCAGTAAAGAAACAAATAGCTTCCGAGTCGTTGCGGCGGGTGCTCCGCAAAACAGATAATAAACGGAACATTTTATTTTTAAAAGATCAATTCTTAAACACTTACGCTCATACAGCAAAGATACAAGGAACAGTACCATGGATAATATATAGATTTAGCCAGGGCTAAAAGCGAAGCCTTGCTTTGTATACTTATGATAAAAGCAATCAAATTTAAACTAGTAACTTGAACTCTTAGCCACAAAAAAAAAAAAAAAAGAAACAAGGAGCCTTCGGCATCAGTTCACCTTTAGAGGGAGGGACTAAATGATTAAGAAAAAATATCCCGTAAACAAACCTGAATTCAAAAAAATTGTGAACTTTATGGTCTCTCAGCCAGGCCCGGCCAGGGGTTTTGGGTATACAGTATCCCGGGCCATTTTAATTCCGATATATGGTATTTTTTGGTCAAAATTCGGGTATAAAGTATTTAGTTTTTACTCAATTTTAGGTATTCGGTATATGGTACAGAAATCACTGAGAAATGTATAATTCATTTTTCAGTTTTATTATCGCTCTAATGCTCACTAGAAAGAGTGCGGATGCTCGAAATTGTTACTGTTTGGCTTCCTATCTCAGTCCCCCACCCCCACCACCAGGGTGATGGAACTCAATCCAAACTTCATTCAACACTTGGACGTTGAAAGCCTTTTAACTCTCTTTGTTGAAAACTTCTTTTCCAGTTTGAGAGGGGGTAACACGGACCCTCCCTACCCGTCAGTGGGTACAGCAGTACGGTAAGTGTGTCAGACAGAATATACCACAAGAAACTTTTCAACAAAGGACAAGCCAGGCACCTTGCCATTGAACCTCTACAAGTCTGCACCCCCGAAGCAACATTCAGTAGACTTTGACGTGCTTCTCAATGAAGACATCCCCGTTCAACACCAAGATACCAGCACAGCACGTAACATTGTCATCGACCAGTCTACGTATGTTGTAGGGTTTCCTGAATATACAAACCGCGTTCTGCTCCAAAACAGCCCACTGTATATTACAAAACTAGTAGAGGATGTGGTTGATGACAGTGCTCGTTATGTAACAACTCTCTGTTACACCCAAGATGTTGTCGATCCTCTGCTATTCACTACTTCGGGAGAAGAGCATGTCATCCCAAAAGAGGGCATAAAGGGGGTTGTAAGCAGCATTACAGTTGTTGACAATGAAACTGTTGAAATAGATGAGGGGGAGTATTATCTGCTCCTGGCCTTGGTGAACGGACCCACTGACACCACCTCTCCCAATGAAGCTGATAAAGAACCTTTTGCAGAGAGCGTTGATGGACAAGGTGACGAGGATTCGATCACCATGGACGCTAACCGACCTCGGGGAGAGGCGGGTATTCCCATACATTGCCTATACGAGTATGCGCTGCCCAACGGGGTCGTGATTTTGAAGCTCCTAATTTAAAGGCGTTTCCTAGAACGGGGTATAATATTTCGAACGCACGAAAGCTCCAGTCTTGTAAGCAGTCATTTGAAATTATTCAAGGACAGATTGCTTTTAAAAATGCGGTTAAATCAAAACATCAATGCGTTAACAAGCAAACTGTTGTCCTCTTGTTGCACCCTGTGTTTTAGCGTGCAGGGCTATTTCAATTTACAAACTTTCTAGAACGGAGTATGAAAAATTAGCCCATTTCTCAGGGGCACCCAACGAGAATACAGTTCAAAACCACTTAAAGATAGTATTGTTAAACGTATTTTAGTATTTAAACGGTAGATATAGGCATATTTTAATCCACTAAAATTTTTCATCTGTTCGGATTTCCTAGTTGAAAGTCTGGTGATCCGAAAATTGTAGGGATCAAAACTTACTTTTTCGAAAATTTCAGCCAGAGAAAAGGCTCCCGAAAATTCTAGGTGACCTTTTAAGGGTAAAAATTCGTTAAAAATGGGCAATTATACCATTTTTTAGATGTTCGAAAATCCTAGGAGAGGCAGGAAAGCAAGAAACTTTACAGCAAATGTTCCGAAAATTCAAGATCTCAAATCGTCTTCCGAATTAATATTTTCCGAATATTGACGTTGGGTGCCCCTGATTTCTAGAACAGGGTATCAGTTTTAGGGCGAATTCTAGAACGGGGTATAAAAAATTGGCCCATTTCTAGAACGGGGTATCAATTTTAGGGGAAATAGTTTTTAGAACTGGGTGCCTATTTGGAGTCTCGGGCGGCACATAGCCACCCAAAAAATACCCAAGTGCCCCCCTCCCCCGGGCTAACCGACCGCAAAGGAAGCGGAAGAGGACAGTGAACCAGGAGTTTCTCTTTTATGAAGATCTAACTTGTTCATTTTCAGGTATTTAGTATTCTGTTTCAAAATAATTTGAAACAGAATAATTGGTATCTTGGGGGCAAAATAGCGGGTATATTGGTATCCCACTACCCTCCCTGGCCGGGCCTGCTCAGTGTAGTAGCAGCAATTTAAAGGTTACCATTTCTAGGGTCAGTATTTCTGTCTTAAAGGGTAGAGCTAAAAGGAAAATTAGGCCAACTCAGGGACTTTCGTGTTTCCGTAAGCCCATTATATTTTCTTGTCTTCTCTTATTTCTTTTTTTGAACGGGCCCAGACGAACAGTTGTGTGTAGTCTTTACTTTCAACAGCCTCACATTATCTGATAGAAAGTTTTACCGTAAGAAAAGGTGTATATTTTCTTTGGACAGACAAATAATTGGAAAGCAAGCGATAAACTTTTTCGCTACTCATAACTATAATCCAACCTTTAACCTACTCAAAATGTGGTTCGTGATCAGGTGTTGTGCCCGGTGGACCCGGTGCATTGCTGAGAAAAGTGCGGTAGACGTTACAGCACCTTACAACTTAAAGAAAAGTAAAGACAAACTCGGGCTCTAAAAGCCGACGAGTCTGTCGTTAGAATAGAGGAGAATTCTTTCATATTTTAGATAAGCTTACTCTTTCAGCGAGAATATAAAGACAAACGTGAGGGTATAAAAGGACGAATGAGTTTGCGGAATAACATGTGGCATGGCTTGCGGAATGATATAATTATGCAGAATTTAATGTATGGAAAATTTCGCAAGAAGAAATAAATTACTGTAAACAGGAAAACATGGGCGCGTCTCTACCGCGCGTTTTTTTGGCGCCAATTTGCAGGAGCAACAGCTTTGCCGGTCTGTTTATTATTTCTAGTTAATAAAACAAGGCTAAAATAGGCCCTAGGCAAACAAGTGAGAAATTACAGTGTTTGTATGGGAATAAATGTCGAATAAATACCGTAAAACGGCTGTTCTGAAAAAAATATGAACTGTAAATTAAAAGCTACACAGCCAAGGATTTTTATCCGGCTATGGGGGCCGTTACTGTGCTCAAATTTCTCCGGACGCTTGCTTTAGATTTTCCATATAGTTGTCGTCAATTAGAAATGCAATATGGAAAATTTTAAAAAGTGGTTCTAGCGCATGTGGCTGCTCAGCAATTACCTCAAATTTTTTTAGTGGAATCGTTAGGAGTGAAGCTTTAGTTTACAATTTATATTTTTTCCAGAACAGCCGTTTTATGGAAATTATTCGACGTTAGCTTCACATACAAACACTATAATTTCTCACGCGGTTGCCTACTCCGTGATAAAAATAAAACCGTGATATATAAGGCCTATTGAAACACTGCTGAAACACCAATACTTGATAATTCATCGATAACACGCTTCCAAAATATACTAAAACGGTTCTTTACTCACGTCTCTTTTCCAGTGAAGCATAATGAAAGTACGAAAAACTGTCAAGTTTAACCAGTCCTCTATTGAGTTTTTACTCTCCTCATTGCATAGAAAAACATCGTAACGGCGGACGAGGAGAAATAGAAGGGAGGAAGAGAGAGGACCCTGGAAAAGAGGCTGTTAGGAAATTGCAGACTCGAAATAAATAAATAAACCTCGTAACTGAATCCGCCGTGCAGACGCACTGTGTCGCAAATTTGTCAGGAATTGGGGGGTATTAAACCTGTACTTCTTGGCTAAACTCAAATCAAGGGTCACTCTTTATCGTAACGCTAGAAGGTAAAGAACGCTCGCTGAACGTGAATTTGGGCTAGCTACAATTCTAAGGATTTTTAATACGGTGAACGAATCAGATTATATTCGAGAGTAAATGAACGCCCCGAATCAAACATTAATCTGTAATCCACAAATCGAGTGAAGCGAACTGCTCTCAGTCTCCGTCTCCTTTCAGCCTTTCCGCGTCTCTTCCTGTTTGAATGTGTGCGTTTGATCGTGAAAAAATGCTAGAAGTAGGAAAAAGAGAAAAAACAAACAAACTCAATTGCCAGGATTAGAGCTCGCACTTCTCCGCCAGCTGTTAGCTTCACGTGCCTGAAACTTCACCACGCAGCCGAGGAAACAAAATACAAGATATTATGTCACGATCACGTGACCCGCCGTCTGAAACAGAAACACTTCTCACGCGGTTTCAAAAGCAAATAAAGGTGAAAAAAAGAGTGAAGTTAATCGGGCAATTATCTTTTTCAAAAAAGAAATTAAAGCGGAACTGATCGTGACCTTCCAAAAGATCTTTTCTTTAATGGCCGACTTTCTTGATGTAGTATCGGTGCTGCCATGCAACCCGACTAATAAAGGCAAGAAGAATCTTTGTGTCTGTGCAAAAAAGCTAATCGACCGTGAGAACTGGTCAAGGATTCCTTTCTCTTCGTAGTCGAGCCCGCAAAAATGAAAGCAACCGCTTGATTGGCGCCAAGAAAGCGGTGAGGGTAAAAGATGGAATGGGTTTGTGGAATGGCATGTGGCATGCATGGCTTGCGGAATGACATGATGACTCGGAATGTGATATTATGCCGAATGACTGAAAGAAATAAATTAAACAGAAAATTGCGGCCTTTTTTGGCGCCAGTCAAACAGTTGAAGGACTTGTTCTTACCATGCCGTAAAATTCCGAAAATAAGCCCCGGGGCTTATATTTTTCAAAGGCCCTTTTTGAGGGGCTTATTTTTGGAGGGGCATTTGCATTTCAAAATCGATTGGGCTAGCTTGTAGTGGGAAGAAAATTTACCATTTTTGCTTTGTTTTACTTTGTATTCGAGGGTAAATTCCAAGTACAAGCTCCCTGGGGGGCTTATATTCGGAGGGGCGATTTAACGGAGGGTTTTTTGCGTTACGATTTTGGGGGGCTTATATTTGGAGGGCCTTATACATAGAGGAGCTTATTTTCGGAATTGTACGGTATTACAAGAAAGATGTTCAACCGTCATGCACAGTGTAATGATTTCTGAAGGGAATTTCATTGCAGTGACATTTAATTTTAGATCCATATTACAACAATGCAAACTAACAACACATTGTTTACTTGATATACGGTAAAACGAGCAACAAAAACAAGCAACTTGTTTCAAAACATGGCCACAAAACGAGATGAAAAACGATGTTGCGCGTTTTACCACCCACGTTAAAACTTGTCTCACAACTACAACTAGGTTTCTGCAAGTTGCGTGAATCCCGACTTCTTATTGGAGAATTATCGGCCCCCCTTTGGACAGTTTGTAACAAAGCATCGCTTATTGACCTTCTTGACGTCGTCTTCTTTCTTAACCAGGCGCATTTTCTCTACCAGTCTAGCTCTCTTCACTTCAGTACCATCATTGTCGATCTCTTTGGACTCAGAGATGGCCTTAGAATCGGAGATAGCGATTAAGGCAATGGCAATGCACACCACCAGCAATGCAGACTTCATTTCGGCTAAAAAAAGCATCACAGAATAGTTAGAGAAAGTTCGATGAAAGGTGCTCACCAGCCTAATGACGTTCCAAGTACGTCGGGAGTATGAAAATGATTTCTCTGTATGCTCTGAGAGTCTTTTTCGTTAATTTGGAGCTGCCCTAGAAATATTTATCTGTTTTGATTTTTTAGGGGATTTTTGGTCACCTCAAAAGTTTTATGGGGCTATTTTCCAACGGCTTTGAATTCGTCATTGTCATTGGTCTGGTCAAAAGTTCGAGGACGCCGAGTATTTACGATATTTTTTTTCATTGTCGTTTAGTTTTCAGGGGAACGCTTTCGTACGGACTAAACCAGCAACTAAATCAGGAGAGTGACATTAATAAAAAAAAGGAAAAATACTGGATCTCGTAGGAAAGGTTGCTTGGTTGGAAAGTTATCGAATAGTAAAAAACAAACTCACCAATGGTCTCGATCTCTGAAAGCGTTTCTTCAAATCTCTGATACGATGCTGTGAAGTAAAACTTCAGATGGCTTTTATGGAAGCCCTTCTGATCATTTATATAGGGAGGTCCAAATATACCTGTAATATTATTCAGGGGCCACTACGCCCCTCCGAACATATTTTTCCTTGCCGGAATGAT